TGATTCTATTAATGGAAAGGGTTCAGTTACCAGTTAGTTCCAGTGGGAGCAAAAAGCAACTAATTTTGCTGCAATAGTAGACGTATACTTACGTTCAAAACGCTTTGCATCGACAGAAGAGGGATCCGTGAAAACCGGAGACAGAAGCAGTGGCCTGGAGACCAGGCCAGAATTTTCGACACCTTCGCCCAGGGTAGGTGGACAGAGGCTGACTGCAGAGGTAACGGACGGTGTAGAACTTCCGCGCATTACTTGCTGCTGTAGCTCGCCGGAGGAGGGATCCGAACTGTCGCCTGTGTTGGACTGACGTGCTATGCCCGCAAGAAATGCAAGTACGCGACGGATAGTCTCTTCACTTGGTACCTCAGTGTCTTCATCAGCGCTTTCCGTGCGCCCTGGGGGCCGAGGATACTTTGTAATTCGTTTAATATGCGGACCCATTAAACCCTCTGAAAAGCAGTATCAAGCGGATTTACGAGAATGATGAATACTTTTTGGACTATTTAGTATCCCTCTGCAGGAAAAAAGAGTACTAGGATACAGAAATTTGGGAAAATTCAAATAAGAAGTATAAAAATTATGCATTGTTTGTTTTCTCCAGCAAGACCTAAACTCAGGTCAACTGGTAAATAACCATTTGTAAATCAAGGTGCGCGTACAAGTCCTGCTGAATCCGTCTAGGATATTCAAAATAACGCAGGTGAGGCGCTTACTGTTGACAATACAATTAAGGTTCGAAAATCAAGTTGTCGACTGAGATAGGGGTGGGACCAACGCATGACCACAAACAGGTTAAAAAATGGGCACACTTGGTTTTGTTCTGTTTTTCGGTAATTTTTCTAAAGCCCTGCTCACTCTTCGTTATTTTTTCGCCTTCGAAGGCTCTACAGCTAAAGTTCCCATGCGAAGTTATGCCCCACAATAATGATAGGTGGGTGGTCACCATTCCTAAGCAACTTTAAAAGCTCAGGCTCTCGGGTTATTTTTATAGTACTTGGAGTTCAACATAGATAAAAATGAACTCTGAGCAAAAGATTTTGAAGCAAGTTAATAAAAGTTAATTACCACTAGCACAATTTTACATTTATAGCAACTAACTCAAAGCTACATAAACAAATATACAATCAGCATACCAGAGCGTCCTTGGATGCACTAGGCTAGCCTGGTTAACGACACATCAATTTAAGAGCATATTGCCTAGACTTCAGTATGTACTACATTAAACGGTGGAGAATACTGACGGTAGGAGAACGTTTTGATCCACATATTTTGTTGCACAGACAATCCATTTTTGCTCACCCATTGAAGCAAATTCATTCATACGTTGAAATAATTATAGAATGCACACACGAGGACGCGAAATGATGGGACAAAATGGAGGGCAAAGTAAAAAAGGTCCCATTCACAACTACGGAATAGAACTGAAAACGCGAGCGCAGAGTAGAGAAGGAAAGCAGGGACTCACGAGTTCCAAGTGAAAGATGTAGATAGTGGTCAGTGATGTCACTTGGGCTTGTGGAACTCCCGATCGCTTTCTCCTCTGGCTTTGAATTTGATGTCAATCTAGAGAACATAAACACCAGATAGATGCCAAGTCACACATAAATCTCATATCAAGGTTTAGATCGCGGTGAATAAGGACGAGTGATTAGTATACAGTAGCCGCCGAAGACCATGCAACGCTAATTATGAAATTTGGCTA